TCAGAATTCATTAGCAGAATTGTCTCATAGATGTTTTTGTATGCGTTTTTCTTTTATTAGCACTTCAGAGTTAATTCAGAGTTTCTTGAGGAAGTCTTATTACACTCATCCAGAGCATCTAAATAATTCTGCTGGATTAAAGGGAATAAAGACAATCTATAAGAGACCTTTTTTTTAGCACTGTTTGGCTTGGGAGCAGGGAAATGGGCAGAAAGCCACTGCAAAGGAAGCTTTGAAAAAAAATGAGCCAGGCAGTGCTCAAGAACTTAATCAGGCATGAATATGACATCCACTGAGGTCTCCCCTGCAGTGCTTATGTGAGACAAATCTACCATTATTCCTTGGTCTACCATCAGTCCATCTTCTGATCACTTCCCTCTTGCCTGCCAAGGCTGCATCACCTGCAAAACTGAATGTGAGTATGGAAGTGCTCCACTTGCGCAGAGGGGTCTCACGCCAAGTGTGGCAGTCTGTAAGTCCTTTCTCCTTACTTGGCCTCGTGCATCAGTTTTATCTGTATCTTACCTCAACCTAGGTGATTATTGATATCCATTTCAGAGCTGAAATTATAAAATATTAAAGTGTAATCTTGGTGCTTTCTTGCAGCCATAAGTCAAAGTCCTTCCCTGATCACAGAATGAGACATATTGGGAGGGACCACAGTGGGTCATCTGGTCCAACCTCCCTGCTCACGCAGGGTCATCTTAGAGCACATGGCGCAGCATTGCATCCAGACAGTTCTTGAATATCTCCAGTGAGGGAGACTCCACAGCCTCTCTGGGCAATCTGTCCAATGCTTGATCACCCACCGAGTAAAGAAATTCTTCCTCATATTCAGGTGGGATTTCATGCCTTAGTTGCTGCCCATTTTCTCTTGTCCTTGCATGGAGTTACTCTTCCCCAGGTGCAGGAATTTGTCTTGAATTTTAGGCAGTTCTCTGCTCATCTCTCCAACCTGTTGAGATCCTTCTGAAGGGCTGTGCAGCACTAGGAGATATTGGCCACTCCTCTCAGCTTTGTGTCCTCAGTGAACTTGTTGCTGCAACCACATTTCATTGCCAGCAGAGTTATGCACACAGGCAGGGCAGTCAGGGAGAGGACTGAGTTTTCCTTGGAGGTCCATGTGTGGTTTCCACAGATTTGCCTTTTTTTTTTTTTCTTTTTTTTTTTTTCTCAGCAAGCTGGAAAAGGTCCTACTAGAGAAAGAAGGAAAGATTTTGCGGTGGCCTAGCTCAGGCTTCCTAATAACTTTGTATTAGGGGAACTATTTCCATTTTAACTATTTGATGTGTAATTTGCTGATGATGGAAAGCATTTTCAAAACTTTGAATGTAGAAGCTCCCTATTTTCCCCAAAACAATACAGTGCGAGCAGCCTCAATGCAAACATGGTCACCCATGAGCAGTCTTCTTGCATTGTTTGCTCTCTGCTGAGACAATTGCATAGCTGGCAGCTGTGTTTCTGATTTTCAGGAAGCTGCTGCCCACCCCATTATAAGTGCCTTAGTCATGAATGTCATTTGTTTTCCTGAGGAGACTGAATAGCTCCCATATGTTCATAGCCTTTTGGTCAGTATTACTGTCACTCCATTAAGTTTTGCATCACCAAGTTCAATTATTTACCGAAGGCTTTTCACAAATCTGCATTTCTTACTGAATCCATTCTTGGCCTTCTGTTTGGATGCTTCTCCCACTAATGTCATGCTCTTCAGCTTGATTCTTTTATCATTAATTGCTGCCCAATAAAACAACACTTTTCTCCTTTATGTCCCTCTTGAGACCTTCTTGCGCAGTATTGCTTACCAGACACCAAATAATTTGGTGTGGCTGGGAAATACAATGCTTAGGAAAAGCTGCAATTTTAATTGTTCTGTAAATGCTCAAGTGATTTGTAACCATTAAACTGTACAGTCCCCAGCTTGTACAGTGATGTGCTGTGGCTTGTGATAGCCTCCGTGAATGTATCCTCCATTCCCTTTATGTCTTACTATGTCCTTTTTGTTTTATTTTGGATGAAATATTTTACAGGAGGAGCTGTGGTTTGTGGATTTATTTAGTGCCAAGGACAGTGGAACCAGTTACGTTTGGGCTACCACAGATTGGCATCTGCCCTGTCTTCCTTGCTCCTAATCAGCAGGAAGTCTGTGAGGACTCTTGCAAGCAATTTTAAGAAGGAAGTTTCCATCAAGGCTGGGCCCACTGGAGACACAACAGTAGAGAAGGCAAATATTGAGACAGTGCCAGTGCATTGATGTTTGTCTCTTTGCAGTTGTTGTGAAAGCCACATGATTCAAAAGAACTCAACAGTGGTCTTTGCAATGGCTTAACTTGTATTGTAGATATCCAAGACCTGATCTAGATTCAGTTATTAGACTTCTAGTGTAGTGACTAAATATTTTGCAAACAATAAAAAAGAAACAGAAAGTAAATAAGTTTTCATTAAGTTTGTGATATAGAACCAGGAAAGAGAAATCTTCATTGCACAGAGGATATAGTGTGGGGCAGAACAGGATGTGGCTTGTTTCTATGAGTCTTTGGCTTTTGTAGGGAGGTATAAGACAACGGAAATAATTGGTGAGGGGATCCTTGGAATGAAAATTGACGGGGAGAGGGAAGGACCCTCTGTGCATTTGATCCAGCTTTGTGAATAGATTTGCAATTACAAGGGTGCTCCCCGCTAACACTTCAAATCCATTTCATGTAAAGCTGCAGAGAGAAGTGCAAGGACTAAGGATCACAAGTGAAAAAGTTAGGCTCAGAAAAGAGAGAAAAACCATACAATCCCGTGGCAACTTAGTAAAATCTTTACAATAGTTTTCTTTGCTGGATAATGACATTACATATTACAGAAATATCACAGAATATTCTGAGGTGGAAGGGACCCGCAAGGATCATCAAGTCCAGCTCTTAAGTGAATGGCCCATACAGGGATCAAACCCAGAACCCTGGCATTATTAGCATCATGCTCTAACCAATGGAGCTAATTACCTTATTATTACATTTTACTTTGTTTCAGTTATTAAACTCGCCCTAACTCATGAGTTTTACTTCCCCCCCGCACCCGATTCTTCTTCCCACCCCACTGGGGAGCAGTGAGTAAGTGGCTGTCTGGTGCTTAGTTGCTAGCTGGGTTTAAATCATGACACCTTCTTACTGCTTTCCCTGACTTCTGTACCTCTGATTTTTGACTTGTTATTGAAATGACGTCAGAATGGAGTAATGATATCAGGATTCAGAGTCCTAAGCTTATCAGCTGTGCTGGCAAACTAACCAAGTAACATTACATTGACAAACTCTCCTTGGTTTGCAGTGCCCTTATGCATCGGCTTCTTATTGATTGTGTGGATATACACCTCCTGCATATTTCTCATATGCCACGTGCTCTGCTGTCTTGCAGGGTTTCTTGGGATTGAATTGTTAGGAGATATGAGGCAATCTCTAATGATTCTTTATTCTTTCACCTGCAAGCTCACTATGTGCTCTTGACCTTTCTCTGTAGCATGTAATGATGGCTCGGTGTCCTCTGTAAAATGAATTCTGCCAATAGAAAATGGGTTTTTGTTCAAGCACCCAAATCATATGAACTGTCAAGGCTTTGGTTGTTTGTGTGTCTGTTTAAGAGAAGTGTGAATGGATCATGGATACAGCTCTGTCCTTTTCAATTTCAATATTCCCCTATGCACATCTTCTTCATGTTTATTATTATAGTTCTTTTTTTCCTTATAGAAGTTTCTCTTGTCTCCTATCAGAATATCAGTTGCGTGCTAATACTTTGTTCAGAAAGGCACTGTGTTTACAGAGCAGGGCAGGAACAGCCTCTTTCCAGATGGCATGGAATGACTGTACATAAAATTAGTGTGGTTCTTTCCCTAGCACATTGTGCCATGGAACTAAGTGCAGAGCAAGTTAAATAGTGCTTGGTAAAGAGTCCAGAGAAACTCAACTTGAAAGAGTAAGTTTCTAAGAATGAAAGAGGTCAAATTCATCCTGTGGTGTAAATCTGCAAGGCTTCAGTAAAATTATGCTTATAATCACCTCATGTAACATGGCAGACTTGTGAATCTCTACAAAGTGTAAAAGCTAATTGTGATGAAACACCTCAGTGATAAGCAAATTGTGCCTTTTCAAAAACTTCACCAATTTCTTTCTGTAGAGACAATTAGAGTTTGTTCTTATTTCCTATTGATCATGAGTAACTACCTCTCTCTAGGCTCAGCTGTTCCTTTTTATTCTCCTCCTTTGTGCTTTTGCTGTCCTGAAGCCAAATCTGAATGGATTTCCCCGGCTCTTTTGTGCTTTTTGACTTGTTATCAGGAAGTCTGACACCATAAGAAAATTATTTTACAAATGCTAGCCATAATATGGATGAGTACTTCAAAAGACAAAATTAAAGTTCAGATGAATAATGAGTGCAAGGTATGGTGTCTGTAAGTGTAAAATCTTTGAATTTTCTCCTCCAGTTCCCTTGCTGTAACTCCCATCAAAGCTCAGTTTTAGACTACAGTAAACATTTTGGGTATCGAGACCGTAGGCAACAACTGGAAAGGCCCAGTTTTACAATGCTGTATTCAATTAATCTATTCCACAGTAGGATCAGAAAAGTAAGGTATTGTGCTATTTCTTGAAAAGAGTAAAAAGGTGATGTGTACTCCTTGTGGGGTGACTGTATTTTTCTGCTGACTTGCAACCAGTAAATTCTTTGGCAGCCTTGCTCCTGGCAAAGCCCTTGTATTTATCAACTCCTTCCTTATTGCCAATGTAACACCAGCAGTGTCCCTTTTTTCAGGCAGAGCAGTATATGTTGTTCAGGCCCATCCTGAGTCATGGAGCCCTGTAAGGTGCCACCTTTCCCAGGACTTAAAATCTGGTGTGGTGAAAATAAGAGTTGCTTCTTTCTCAGATTTATCCATTGTTGCAAGTTTGTGTGCTGCCATCTGGGGGACAAGGACTTGTGATAACCTCATTGACTCCTCTCTCCCTCTCTCTCCCTGTTCCTTTCAGAGTGCTGCTGGGGTGAGTGCAGAAGAATGGCTGCGGCAGAACCTCTGACTGCTTTCTCACGATGGTACCTCTACGCCATCCACGGCTATTTCTGTGAGGTGATGTTCACAGCTGCCTGGGAGTTTGTGGTCAACTTCAACTGGAAGTTCCCTGGTGTTACCAGTGTGTGGGCACTCTTCATCTATGGCACCTCCATCCTCATCGTGGAGAAGATGTATCTGTATCTCAAAGACAAATGTAATATTTTAGTGCGCTGCTTCATTTACACACTGTGGACATACCTCTGGGAGTTCACCACTGGCCTCATCCTACGCCAGTTTAATGCCTGCCCGTGGGACTATTCCCAGTTTGATTTTGACTTCATGGGCCTGATTACCCTGGAGTATGCCATCCCATGGTTTTGTGCTTCTTTCATCATGGAGCAGCTGGTGATCAGAAACACCCTGCGCTTACGATTTGATGAGACTGCCGAGCCCGGGGCCCCCACCGCGCCCGTTGCCTTGGCCAATGGCCACGTGAAGACGGATTGAGCAGCGACTTAGAGCCATACTTAGCAATCTGAGAGAGCCCAGATCTCTACCACTGACAGTCTGCTCTGGCTCTGAGGTACTGCTCCTTGCTGTATAAGATTCATAACCCCATTTTTCTAATGGGGATGTGCATGGGATATACCAGAAAAATTGGAACCAATAGATTTTCTATGGATTTTACTCTTTGGGCTCCAAGGACCAATATCAGTTACTTGTTAGTTAGGTCGTTTCTGATTTTAACTTATTACTGATGAAAGCAGTCCTTTTGCTTACACTTTAAAGTGGAGAAAGAAGAAAAAAGAAATGCTACGGCGGAAATGCATCCTAAAAAACCCCACCTAATCAGTGGATGGGCATGGACACGCCAGCTGAGTTAGTGATTGGCTTACTCCATTAGGCAATATTCAGGTGCTTGCTTGCAACCAATACCTCCCATGGGACCTGAGATGCTGCAGGAACAAGTAAAATCCATCTGCTGTGAGAAGTACCTAAGATTGGCAGTCTGCTGGGGAGGTAGATGGTGTTCCCCTCACCAGGTCCCACTGGCCTCTCCCCAGGTTCTTTGTTGCACCATGAAATAATCTGGTGCTGGACATCTTGCTGAACTTACACGGATATTATACTTTTTGAAATCTCAGTCCTGATACTTCTGATACTCAATAGAAATATTTTCTTTCTTCTTTCCTTCTTTTTTTTTCTTCCTTTTTTTTTTTTTCCCCCTAAAAAGGCCTTTATTGCCAAGTGAATTTTACCATAATCTGTGCTATCTGAATCTTGGCAAAAGGCACATGAAATAGTGCAAGTCTTCCCATCTCCTTTGTCCCCCCAAAGCAGATCTTGCTACAGATTCCAGCTCCCATCTCAGCCATGCAAACCTTGTAGAGACTATATAGACCACAAGACTTTTCTGCCTTCCTTTCCAGGGATTCCTCTGTTTCTGGTGATATTGATGACTTAGTCTGGCTGCAGCCCATTGTATTTAAAGGTCAAAACCTTCATGTGGCTAACCCAGGATTTGGTCCTCTGGCACTGACTCCATGTTCCTTCAGCACTGGAAAACAACAAGAAAAACAACAAAAAACAAAACACCTGTCTCTGAAAAGCATGCACTTCTTCATGCTCTGCCTGAATGAATGGCTTTGAGTTAGGGTGCAAGAGCAGCAGTAGAGAGGTGGAGCAGGAGGGACTGCTGTGGTTTCACTGTAGACCTACCTCCACCAGGGACAGTTTGAAATTTAACCTATTGGGAACACTTATGGAGAACAAGGACAGCTGTGGTGCAGGGAAGGTGTTTGATAGTGGCAGCCACAAGTTTGTAATTCACTCTGTCAAGTCTTGACCTTTGAAGTTAGCAAGAAACAGAGAGCTTCCAGCTGTCCGATGTTTCACTCCTGAACTGATTTATGGGGAAGGTTTGCCAGAGTTGTCCCTAAGGCCAGATTAATTTTTCTTGTTCTTCCACCACAGTCAGCAGAACTGTACCAGGGATAATTTGGCTTGAAATGCAAATCTGTTGTAGGATTCCACTCTTATTTTGGAAATAGTTGGGCCATTTCTGTGTATGTCCCTTGTCACTGGTAGGGGATGCTCAGCTATGAACCTGCTCTTGCCCTGGTGCAGCCGTTCCTGAGAGGAAAAGCATTGCTGGCCCTGTGAGTAGAATTGTTTCTTGGTTCTGGTCTTACAGGGCAGTGTTAATCCTTCTTTGTATTACACAGAGAGCAATTACTTTATTCCTTCCCTTCCCCTTTTCATATGGCATCCATTGCTGGCAATGGACACATGAAAACAGTGGTGGCAAGGAGTTAATCGAATCTGCCCTGGATATGCAATGTATCCCAAATCACTGAGAATACTTAGGTGGGTATTTAGAGTTCCCTTTTTACAGTTCATTAAATTAAAAAAGGACAAACACTGAACTGATAGTTCTTTTGATGCTGTGATGCCAGTGTTATGAAATCAGAGGAACAGTGTGTAGTTGATCAGCCTTGTTGGTCTCAGGAGTATAGACCCAAGCAAAATAGTCATCTGAAACTGTACATGGAGGAAAAAAACCAGCTTTGTGTGGGGGATAATGTAGATGAGCTCTACTGGAGCAGAACAGGAATTGCAAGGTGCAGATCAGAGTTGGTATCCCACCATTTTGGCCCTGGTTATGTCACGATCATCAAATGCAGTGTCTAAAGCTGGGTTGTCCTCTCACAGCATAGCTTAAAATGTGGTGTTGTGCTGCCTCCTACACCACCCCCACATCATGTAAAACCCTCAGCTTTACAGAAAGATCCTTAGGATCCCTGCTTTCTCCTTAGCTATTACAAAACTCTTTGGAAAGGTTGAAAGGAGTTAGCAGTGTGGTGTGGAGGACTGGCTGTCTGCAGAACTAACCTGGTGTGCAATAGCAGTTGTGTCTGTTATTGTCTGTACTTAAGAAGGTCCCATATAAATGACACTTTATTTGTGTTTTGCTGAGTGATGTAATATTTAACTGCTCAAAATATGGAGGGTTTCCCAGCAGCATCTAGTATTCTAGGGCATTGTTCTTACTGCCTGTGTCATTGAAACAGCTGTTGTAGTCTGCTTTCCACTGGTGTCTGACATGTACCATCCAGCTATTGCATCTTCATAGAGTGGTAATTTATACCCAGAAGTGCACTTTACTTGCAGCTTGCACACCAGAAACAGAAAAGGACCTGGCAAATTCTTAAATAATTTAATTGTGTATAATACCACATACCTAATGCAGCAGGATTAGCCAGACTTCTCCTTTCTGAGCAATGTGGCTGCTGTCAAAGCTTTGTCTTTTCTGCAAAATCTCCCTTTTTAATACATGTGATGCTTCTTATAACATCTTGCAGAACTGCCCAGAGCACGTCACCAGGATCTCAGTGGCAGCTCAGTGAGAGCTCGGGAGCTGGACTGAAGTTGAAGAGACATTTACATTAAGAAGAAAAAAAACGCACAAGGCCTAACATTTGTTTGTATGTGTATCTTCCTCAGTAGATTAAAGTTGCCTGTTTTGAGTTCACCAGCAATAAAAAAACCATTGTGATTTATCTACCTTGTCCTAACTGCAGCAAAGAGAAAGTGACCCTCATCTCTGCCTTTCTTTTCCAGGGGGTGGTGGGATTTGGACTCCCCAATGTTCCAGTTTTGCATCTGTTCTCTTACTTGTCTCATGTACAGTCCACCCTAAAGGATCTCAAAGTGTATGATAAATAAATACATAGTCTGGTGTCTGTCACACAAGAGGCAGTTCAAGCATTACTGTGGTATCTGTTCATACTCCAAAGATCTTGCCAGAGGGGAATGTTTGATCTACAGCAGGACCAGATGGCATTTTGGTCTTTTGTGTTATAATTGAGAGAAATGTGTACATACGTACCAAGAACATTGCGCCTTTGGTCTGAGTGCATTTTGTAATTAAAGCAGAGTAATCCAATCAGGATTTTGCTTGACTAGTCCTGTGACTATAAAAGGTAGAAAAAGACTGCAGGGCTTTAGCTGCTTTGAGAATTAGGAAGCAGGTGACTGACGTCCTGAGTTTAGCATAGCTCTGCTGCTGACTGGTTTTCTAAAACCTGCAGAGAAAGAAAGGGGATTTCTTCACTCCGGGAAACTTCTGCCCTTTCTGTAAATAAAACATGAGCCACAACTAAGATGTGAACTGAAACTAAATGTTTTTCTATTTTAATTTATCCTAGGCTCTGACTACATGCAATCTGCCCTGTGTTCAAGGGGGAGGCTTGCAGACCTGAGCTCTTTTCCTCCACTTCTGCCTGCGAAGTGCAGCTGAACCACCTGAGGGGGAGAATACTCTCTTCCCCTTCCTTCCTGCACACTGGCAGCTATTGAATCCCTCTGTGGCCCATCCCCTGTTGTAGAAGGAAATGTTTCTTACATGGCCTCTTACCAAACCAGGAGCTGTTAGTAATGTGTATCACCTTACCCAACTGCTTTGGCACCTAAAGACCACTTTGGGTCACAGAGCTGGTGAGAACAGATGAGCATTGTTCTTGTTTGGCAAATGGCCTCCCTTTGAATCTGTCTTCTCTTACTCCTCCTGGAGTATCCTGAGCCAGCTGTTGGGGAAGGGACATTCTTTTCCTTCCACCTTCAGTCCCAGAGCAAGCTCTGCAGCTGCTCAGGGGCCTTGGCACCATTCCAGGTTTTATGCTAACACAGGTCTGTCTCCACTTGGGCACGGCCACTTTGATTTTAAGAGCTGTAGGGCTCCGAACTTCAGGCTCATCACAAGCAAGGCTTCCACAGACCTCAACAGTGAATTTCTACCATGTGGAGTAGCTTATATCTTCCAGGATGGCAAGGTTTTGCTGCATCAAGAGTTTGACCACTGGTCAAACTGCTTTGTGAACAAGAGGGGAAGTTACAGAAGAAGGTGGTGCCCCCAGCACCTGCTCTCCTTTTGGCCCCTGGGCAACTAGCACAGATGTGGAAGGAAAAGGTGCTGTTTGGACAGAAGGCCTAGTCAGGGGCTGGAGATGCACTGGTTAGTTTGTGTCCAAAGGCACCACATCTTCAAATATAAAGTTGTGCTTTCCCACTGAAATCTTCACTACTTGTGGAAACACAAATGTTTGCTTGCTCCAAAGTGTATGATTGCTTGAACTTACTCTGAACTAGAAGGAGTGTTCAAATTGTCCAGTCCTCTTTCTCTCTAGGTGATTCTCATCTTACAACTTTGTGGAAAAATATGTCACCTTGGGATGTGCAAGCTAATGCTCATTAAGCCAATATAACTCCTAAAAGCCATATAGTGCTGTTCTCCATCCTGCTGAGTTAATCATGCTGAGAAGCAGAATAGACACACCTCAGAGTGTGCTGCCATTTGGCTATACCACTTCAGGACCTGAAATAGTAGCAACGCCTACTCAGGAATTAATTTTGCTTTATAAAATGTACTCTTAATTCCATGCTTAAGAGGGAGAAAGAGATCCTATATAAACTTCATCACTGCTTCTTATCTTATTTGTGCTCTTACTTGTTTAAGATTTCAGCTGTTTAAATGAGACCCTGAAGACCAAATGTGGAAGGTGACTTTTTACACCTCTGGAGCAGGTCGGTATCATCACACAACTGCACTCTGCATTGCATGGTGTGTGCAGTGCAGTTCCAGTCCACAGCCAGGATAGGCTTCCACCATACAAGGACTTTGATGAGTAGAGGGGGTGATAAAAACACTGCTCATAATGGTGGCAGAGCAAGGACTGGTGGTGACACTCCCAAATCTTCAAGAGTTAGGTTGAAAGAATCTCTTCATATTCTCTCTATCTGTTACTTCTCATAGGTCTAAATCAAATTGGCAGTTTTTATTCTTAGAGATGCAGACCATTTTTTTGACTCCTTACTCTGAAGTCTGGGCAGCTCACTCCTACTGTAGGCACTGAATTTTCTGATATGAATGGCCTTCATTAGTTTCTCAGAAAATAGCAATTTTGAAATGGTAATCCCAAATGTTTGACGTCAGTTTGTATTTATGCTTTAGCAATTTAGGAGCTAAAGACCCTTAAATATCTGGTGATGCTGTTTGTTTATACTGTTTGGCATGTGATCCTGCTTTAATGCTATAATGCAGAAGAAAGAGGAGAAAGTACAAGCAATTTTCTCTTTAATAAAAATACATAAACATGCAGTTAAGACAATATTTATTAAATAGGTGAGATATGCATATGCATAGAGATGTCCAGCCTTTCAAATATGGGACACTTTCCAGTGAAGAATGTTGCCTTCTGCTGTAGTTAATCACCTTCGCAACATTTCTAAATTGCTATTTCAGTGGGGTTCTTTACCTTAGTATTTTGAGAATGAGAATAAAAGTATTTTCACATTTCATTGAAGGATCTTTGAAGTGCTTTTCACAAACTAATTAAATAGAATTACTGAAATGGTTCAGAATTAACCCCAAATAGCACTGATCAAGATCTAATGAAAATGTCCTGACAGTTTCCAAAAGGTCATTTCAGAAAGAGAAAAGGGGGTTTAACACTACCTCTTAACCAAGTTTCCAGATTTGTGGAGTGAATTAATAATGTTCCAACAAAGTTGGGAAACTGGGGAAGTGCTACCTGGCTTCCACCATGTGACGCTGTCCCAGAAATGGTTGTGCATATCATGACATTGCTCTGTCTGCCCAAGTCAAAGCCAGCACATGAAGGGACGGTCAGAGCTGATAGGCAGCCCAGTATCCTGTATAAAATAGGACTGATTCCCTCTGTCTGCTACATAATCCCATCTCCATCAGTAGAGTACTTTTGGGTAAATATTGCTAGGGGCAACAAGCTATGTTAAAGGCTAAACTGAGGTGACCATCTGCTCTATCAGCTCGTATTGCAGTTACTGCAGAGCTTATCTGTGATGCTGTTTCTGTTGTCAGACCACTCATCTGATACCACAGCTCTTCCTACTGCTTCTCTGTCTCCAGCAGCTCCTTTGGGGTATCCCATCCTTTTCCATGCTTTATTTCCACTGTAAGCCCATGCTGCAATGACAGGTACCCAAGCTCCCCTACTCCAAATCTGAGCCCCACCTTTGGCAATTGAACAAAAATGCTGTCTTAAATATTTGCTGATGAGCTGTACCTTCCATTGAAGCCCCCAACAGATGCAGCTGTCAGTGCTTTGAAAAGTGGAAAACATTTTGCACACTTGCCTTCAGGCACAAGTACAGCAGGAAGTATGAAATTACTGTTCAGTGTGTTTGCTCTATCTTCCACACAATGGTACACAATAGGTTTTCATGGCTAAATTCAGCAAAAAGCTTCTCTGGTCAATCTCTATGAGTTTTGATGAATACAAACTAATACATAATTTCACCTCATCCTTCACATAAATGTGTATACATACAGTGAGTGTGTTTAGATGCACAAACATAGCTGATGGCATACATGCATTGTAACTTCTACCAGCAAAGAAAAGCTATCCCCTGTTGTGATACGGCACGAAATGATGACACAGACACTGCTGCTCTCGAGGGGAACAAAAAGGAAGAAAAAGAAGAACTTTATTTTCTGACTCCAACATTTATAGTTTTCCAAAGGTGACAGTGGATTGGAGGGTGACAGGGCCACCTCTCCAATGCCACTGGACAGACCAAGGGTCCATCAATTCTCTCCTCCTCCATGAAAGAATGCAAAACATAAGTTATTTACAGAACTGTGTGTGAGAAAGTTTGTTGAAAGAATGCAAACATCAGAAGGCTTAACAAAGTCTTATAAAATCACGGCGACAATCCCCTGTTTAGCTGCCCACTCACTGCCACTTTCTTGAGCAGATGAAATCCAGAGAATATCCAAAATCAAGCCCACATACATATGAAGAAGGTTAAGATCTAAGTTGGATGTTCTTGTCCTTGCAAGCTGCACGTCTGTGTGCTTTGGTGTGGCCTCAGTTAGATGTATCAGGGGATGAGAGACTCATCAATGAGCAGTCAGCTCAGAGAGGGAAGTGAGGCCTAGGTTTTTCAAACAAGTTTTACATATGGTGTTTAAATCAGATTAAGGCAAACATACCATACTATCCTGCTTCATCTTTATAAAAAGGGGAATTATAACTTGGGGACCTTCTGGTTCCTTTGATAGGGTTTGGCTTCCAGTCTGTATGCACTCTATAATTGCTCAGGAGATCAGTGTGTATCCTGCTGAGTCAAACCCATCCCATCCACTCCTGTTTTCGTTGATGCTAAGGCATCAACCAAAAAGACTCCCACCAAGGCTGCAATGTTGATCCTAGAGGTCCTGTTCTTCTGCTGCTCCATTTTCTGGCCACTGGATCTGTCTGCTGTCTCCAATCTCAGTCACACTGCAAATTGTCCAGGCCAGGCCTTGTGCTTTTGTTGTCATACTGATGTAAGCATGTCCCTAACTGGATCTGTAAGTGCTGTTATCAGAGAGAGTAAGCATTAAAAAAAGGTTTTTGACATTTTCAAGGATAAGAGTAAACATCCCAGCTCTGTTCCACCAAAGAAAGGGCTTGACCAAAATGTCCAAGAGGTACCTCTGTTGACCCTTTCCATTCAGGAAAGCAGATTTCCATCTGGG